TTTGGGCCCCTCCGGAGCCGCAGGGGGCTCGCTTGGGTACCGTCTGGGTACCTTCTCGGACCACCCTCGCCACCCCACAATTATGACCCCCCCATTACGCAACGCCCGAGACCTCGATCTTATACTCCAAATAATCCCTCATTAATCGTCCTCTGGGTCCCGTTTTTGTAAGGCGCCGTTTTGAAACTGGGGGGGGTCCGGTTTATTAGGGCGCTTTCTTTGGATTGGAGCTCTGGGGGTCCGGTTTATGAAGGCGCCCCGTCGAAGAGGGGGGTCCCGAATATCAGGTCGCACTTGGAGGGGGTCCCGTTTTTTAGGGGGGGATCGATTCATAGGGGATTCGGGGTACCTCGGTCCGGCTGTACGCGAGGAGGCAGTGACCCTACGCCGCGGCTTACTCAAGGGGCCCTGGGACACACAAATAAATACACACAAATAGAAATACTCCGCGTATTTCCCTATATTTTCTGGGTTTTTGTCTTCCCCCCCACTTCCCATATTTGCCCATATTTTCCTAGGAGCCGACGATGAGTTGTGTCTGTGTGTTTTTCCCCTCCTGACTTACGCGGGCCGCCAGCGCGGCACGCCACGTCGGAAACGCGGGCAAGCAGCCTGCGCGCGGGTGTCCGCGGCACCAGCCCTGTCGCTCTGCGTCGCTCGTGTGCCCGCAGCGGGGGGGGGCAGACATGAAGAAGAACTGGCCGCGGGGGGGGGGATGGCGGGGGATGTGTCGACCCCTCTCCTCTGGCCATCGCTTGGACGTCCATTCCCTGTGTTTTTTTCGGTTTCGCGCGTGGCTTTTTCGCCAAATGATCAAGGATGCTCCTCGATGGTACTCGCCGAAGGAAAAATGCACACGTCCGAGCGATGCCAAGCTCCTGGCTTCGTGGGGCTGTCGCATGGACACTCGGGGCCCGACCCTGGGATGTACGACGGGGGGGCGTCGTCCGTCCTCGAGAGGGGTGCGTCCGGATAGCCCACTTTATATCCCAGGGCCTCACTCTTCTTCCGGGCGGCTCCGTGTTTCGTCCAAAAGTCGGGCATTGGGGGGGGGAAACCTCGCCTGCGAGGAGAGCCGTCCAAAGACGGATCGTGGGGCCCGCAATGCCGCCCGAAGAGGTCGCAGTGGGGCCCCAGAGCTGCCGACTCCCCAGCGGATGTGCACCGCGCTCTGCACCACTGGGCGCTGCCCGCTCCCGGCGCTCCCTTGTTCGCTGACGGCCTCGGGGCGCCTGAAGGCCGCGAAAGACCGAGCGAGCAGCGGTCTGTCCCCAATCCTCCCCCCCCCCGGACCACGCGCCAGCGCGCGAACGTCCCCTCCCCGTGCACGTGTCGGCTTCGTGCGTGCGTTGTTGTTCGCGAGACGGTCCGCGATGCTCCTCGGTGGTCCTCCCCGAAGAGCATATGCTCACGTCCGAGCGATGCCAAGGTCAGGGCGCATGCTGGCCAGAGGAGGTGCCTCGGGGACGCGCGGCCCCAAGGCCGGCAAAGGCCATGCCGCGAACCCTGGCCAGCCGCACAGCAGCTCCTGGAGCAGCGCTGGCGGAGACACGGGGGGGCGGGGTCGGCCCCTGGCTCGCAGGCCCGGGCTCACGAGAGAGAGAGAGAGAGGGAGAGTGAGAGAGAGAAAGAGAAACAGGAGGAGGGGAGGCAGGAGGGGGAGAAGGAGGACGAGGAGAGGGAGGATGGAGGGGAGAGGAGAACGAGGAGGAGGAGGAGGAGGAGGAGGCGCAGGAGGAGGAGGAGGAGGAGAAAGAGGAGGAGCAGCAGGAGAAGGAGCTGGAGGCTGGAGGAGATGGAGGAGGAGGGGGAGCTGGAGGAGCAGGAGGAGGAGGACAAGGAGGAGGATGAGGAGGTAGGAGGACAAGGAGGAGGATGACGGGAGGCAAAAGGAGCAAGAGGATGTTTTTTTCTCCTCATGCTGCTTGTCCTCCTCCGCTCCTCCTTTATCTCCTCCTCGCCCGCCCCCGCCTCCGCCTTCGCTCTTGCCCTCCTCCTCCCCCTTCCTCTCTTCCCCCCCTCTCTCCCTTCCCTTGTCCTACTTCCTCGGTCTCCCCTTTCCCCCTCCCCTCCTCCTTCCTCCTCCTCCTCCTCCTCCTCCTCCTCCTCCTCCTCCTCCTCCTCCCCCCTTTCTCCTCTCTGCATCCTGGCGGCCCTCCATTGGCGCTGACCCCCGCTGAGTGCGCCCCGACAACGAAACAACAAATGCCGCTGTCCTTCCGGGGCTTGCCGGCCTCGCCGTCCGCTATCGCGGCGCCGTACGCTGGGTCCGAGGGCCCGGGGGCTCCAGGCGGCGGGTAGCCCGCGGGCGGCGGGTAGCCCGGGTAGCCTTCTGGGGCGCCAGCGAGGTCGTCGTCGTCGTCGTCGTCGTCGTCATCGTCATCGTCGTCACCGCCGTTGTTGCCATCGCCGTCCCGTCCGCCTAGACCATCTCGCGCTGTGAAAAAAAACATGCCAAGATGTGTTTGCAGATTTGCTGTTTCTGGAGGCGCTTGCGGGGCCCCGTCAGAAACGGCTCGGAGTGCGAAATCGGGTCCAGTGAACAAGAAAGCCAGACCTCGGGGGGCCCGCGTTGGGAACAAATCATGGCGTTGGAGGTCCTGGCCACGTCCTGGCCCCCTCCTCCTCCTCCTCCTCCTCCTCCTCCTCCTCCTCCTCCTCCTCCTCCTCTGCCTCCTCCTCCTCCTCCTCCTCCTCCTCCTCCTCCTCCTCCTCCTCCTCATCCTGCTCCTCCTCGATCGGCCACGGCAACGACGGCGTCGACGAAGATGAGGAAGAGGAGGAGGAGGAGGAGGAGGAGGAGGAGCGAGAGAGAGAGAGTGACAGAGAAACAGAGGGAGTGGAGGAAGAAAAGGATGATGATGATGATGATGCTGATGATGATGATGATGATGAGGAGGAGGAGGAGGAGGAGGAAGAGGAGGAGGAAGAGGAGGATGAGGAGAAGAAGGAGGAGCGAGAGCGAAATAGAGAGAGAGAGAGTAATAGAGAAACAGAGGGAGGGGAAAAAGAGAAGGAAGGTCATGAGGATGAGGATGAGGACGATGAGGAGGAAGCGGAGGAGGAAGAGGACAGGGACGAGGCCGAGAGCACAGACTGCGACGACGATGCCGTGGAAAGGGGTGCAGCCCCGTGCGATGCGCAGCGCTGGCCTGGCCGCCGGCCCCAGCGACACCGCGGGCGCGCCGCGGGCGCGCCGCCGCCGCCTCTCGCCCCCTCCGCCGCCGGCGCGGCCTCTCGGCCGAGAGCGCGCGCACGGCGCAGCTCGCAGCCCCTCGCCGCCGCCGGCTCGCGCGGGGC